CGAGCACAAAATAAGATTCAAATCTTTGTTTTTTTTTTTTTCGATAAGATATTTTGAAGAACACCTTTTGACAATAACAGGAGCAACTTCAATTCAGTAGATACTTCACTAATTTGATTCGAGTGTTTCTAATTAATCATCATAAGAAACAAATTATATTTTCGGTCTATTACCTCCTTCAACGTGACCTCAGGCATGACCTAACATTAACATTAAATTCATGTATTAAGCATTGTATTGTACGACAGAATTTCCATTTGCTAGGTTAAAGATCACAACTTTTTAAAATCTCACGTGGTAGGTAGATACTTTAGATATGATGATTAACTTTAGCAAATCAACAACATCTGTTAAGTTATTTAATAGAGAAAGTTTAACGTTTGCGTTAAAATGACAAACATTCATCAACAAGTCACCTAGTCCTACAACTATGACAGTTGTTATTTAACGTACGGATCTTATCAATCTCTTTCTTATTATCCTTTATCTAATAGAACTGGGATACTTGGGGAGAATGTAGGGAATATATAGTTGCTCTTCCAAAATGCACTTAAGACTTTGAAAGTAAATATTTAATCAAAAAGGTTTTTAGGGGATCCAGATTTTTTCCTTTAAATATAAACCATTTTTCTTAAACAACTCTAACGATTTTCCACGAAGTATTCCAGGTCGATTTCAAAAAATCGATAATTTTAATAGATGGTGTGAAGCTCACGCAATAATAGAATTCAATAAAGGTAAATTTACAAGTTGATCACCATTACGTTTTAAAATGATAAATAGGTAACTTGAGGGGGTTGTTAACTAAAGTAAGCAACCCAACGAACAATCTCTATATTCACTATAGCGAAGCTTGGTTAATCTGATCTTAAATATGAAACTGAGTAAAAGTAAATTAAAAATAATTATTACGCTGTTAACTTAAGACAACAACATGGGATTTTAAGAATGAATGTTATCTAGACGTGACCTAGGCTCATTTGATTTGTATATCACCCTACTGTATGTTTTTAATGTTTTTCGGAATTATGTACTTAAATGTTGAGGGACTGACATGTAAAATTCAGGTTCATGGATGAAATTTATATTAATAAAAGTTCCACTATCTTATCCTCTCAAATGTATCGTTTATAATAAAATGTTTCTTCACTTCATCTTCAGAATAAACATAAAATTTTGTATTTGTATGGTATGTATTTGTACATTTCATCATACATAAAAGATTTTTAAACCTTTTTAATAACAATGTTTTCTCTTATATTTCTAAAAAAAACCAATATTACAACCAAAGTATCCCCTAACCCCCCGTTGAATACAAACAGTCTATTGGCTACACAAATGCTAATAAATCATATGCTTTTGCAGCAGTAGTTTTAAAAGTAATGGTAAAAGTAACTTCAGCTTGTATCTTTGACTTGATGTCTAACGTATTAAAACTGACTTTTGTATTATAATGAGGAAGCTATTTAAGTACTTCGCCCAAGATTAAACTATTTCAGTAGAAAGTTTTAATAAAATAAATATGGCATTTATCTGTTATTCGTTAGATGTTATTTGGTGTATTTTTTGTAAGTTGTCATTAAACTGAATTTACTTGCTGCAAAATAGTTATATAACAACGTAATTTACAACATAATAAATGAATGAGTAAAAAACTTTTGAAACCGGACGTGATGCAGGATGATATCATTATATTAGAAATTACATGGCAAGATACGAAAATTAATATATTTTCTACTTGCTCTGTTCTTATATTATTACATGTATAGTTCAAATTCACACAATTATTGTTTTCATAATAGGGACCTAAAATCAAATTTCACTAAATTGGTGGTTTTAATTAAGAATTGTTTATCTTACGCTAAATATACATTATGAATTGGGGGAATTTTCAATGATACTCAAGGTGATACAAACCTTATGTATATCTTGCACCACAATAAATGAATATTATTATATTGTGTAATGCTTTAAGTACTTTTATTGGTTTGAATGTCATCTTAAATTTGAGAAATCACAGATTCCGGAAGTTTAATGTCCATAACTGTAAACCAAATTATACATGTGGAGGTGCCTCTATCGTAGTGGTGGACGTTGCGCAAACTGTGAACGTTTCTCCAAAAATTGCATTAGCTGGAGGGCTATTTGAATAATATTCTGACCAACATTGTTACTACACCGTCTCTGACCAAAACCACTTTCTCTCCAGGTTTTCGTCCACACCTGCCTTTCTTTTATTGCTGACAATTTTTTATTTTAATGCCTTCTTACCGACAAAGAATCTCCAGAATCTCGTTTTTTTAATTACAATAATGATTACACAGTAAATCTACTCTAAATATTATGAATACATATAGCTGTAATTACTGTCTTGATGATATAATATTTTATTTATAATTTAATTTTCATTTCATTCTATTTTCAAAATTAAATTATAAAAATGTTTACAAATGGCTTTAGATATGGAATTCTTATATTTAAATTAACAGTAAAATCATACATTAATCTACTAATCAGCATAAATATGAACTTGTGGAAAGAAAAGGGTATAGAAGGACCTTAGGTGAATACTTAGACTTAAACAAAATAATAACAGTGCATACGTGATCCCATCTAAGAGTTAGTAAATAATTTCCATTTCCCAATAATTTCGCGAGCGCTTTTTATGTTATGTTTAAATTATTTCACATATTTTAAAAAAGATAATGCCGGAAAATGTATATAACACCGCACCTGAAAACCGTTAACACCATGAGATTCTACGTACATTTTTACATTATCATCACTTCTCAAAGCATAATAAATATCTTCCATCTCCCAATAATTTCACGAGTGGTTTTTAACACTTAAATAATTTTATATATTTTAACAAAGATAATGCCGGAAAATACCTATTTGACACCGCACCCAAAAACCATTAACTCCATGAAATTCTACATACTTTTTTACATAATTATCACTTCTCAAAGCATAATAAATATCTTCCATCTCCCAATAATTTCACGAGTGGTTTTTAACACTTAAATAATTTTATATATTTTAACAAAGATAATGCCGGAAAATACCTATTTGACACCGCACCCAAAAACCATTAACTCCATGAAATTCTACATACTTTTTTACATAATTATCACTTCTCAATGTTTAGCAAATACCTTCTATCTCCCAATAATTTTTCGAGCGCTTTTGTACGTTTATTTAATAACAGGGACAAAGAACTGAATTAAGTAATTTTAATAAAGTTTTATATTTTACTTATCTTGTTTAATAAACTTCTACTTAAAGCACTTTATTAAAAAAGTGTACAATACTCTACAGTCTACATTTTACCAAATACCTATAATAATTTAACAGACGACGAACTATTTAATTCAATAAGTCAGTTGTCTTTGAAGTAAAGAACTCGTATAGCTTTATTTCAATTAGCATATTTTGTTTACAATTTTACTCTCTTGAAAGTTCTTAATTCTTCATCTGGAAGAAGAATACTTTTTACTAAACTGCTGATTTTTTAACAGCCGTGAATGTAATTTCAATCGTAGTAATATGAAAATGGAAGAATTTCTTAAATAATGTCGTCGAGAATTTTATCACCCTCTTTTAAATTAGGTAAATGGATGTTAAAAGCATTAGGTGTATTTTATGGGACAAACAAGGTTAAATATAAAGGGAAAAAAGCGAGTATTTTTAATAAAACATAAGTTGACGCATTTTTATTAAAAATATTTAGTTGTCAAGAAACATCCTAATATTATATATAAAAAAAAATATGACTGCTGTCAGCACATGGCAACGTAAAGTTAATATCAGCAATTCCTTATGCTAAATTTTAATCATTGATTACTATTACATCTATTAAAAAACCATGATGGCCGACACCAGTAACAATGCGACAACAATTGAAAAAGAATGATGGCCGACAACAGCAACAATTAGAAAAGAATGATGGCCGACAACAGCAACAATTAGAAAAGAATGATGGCCGACATCAGTGACAATGCGACAACAATTGAAAAGAATGATGGCCGACAACAGTAACAATTAGAAAAGAATGATGGCCGACACTACGTCATAGAATTGTCCACAAAAGTGAATTTCGACCACTCAAAGTAATGATGCTAACATTTTCGAGCTTACAGTGACTGATAGGGAGGAAAAACTAGTATTCAAATAAACATAATTTTTTCTAGTCGCCCCTTATATCATAATTACTTCAATTTATGGGACCAATTAGCCATCTAACGTCGAAATCAAAAAATGGAATAGAGAAATAGACTATACATCTGCCATCTAATGTCTGATACTAAAATCTGAACTCAATTTAAGGTGGATGATAATAACGTCTAAAGTACCCCTCACCCTGTAAATTAAAAATGCTTCAAAAAATCTTCAAATAACACATAATTGCATCCATATCCTATATATTTGTTAACTTTTATAATTTAAAATGAGCTATTTTGTAAAGTAAATGATCTATATGTAAATAGTAAAACTTTCATTCAACTATTTTGGTGGTACTTGCAACACAGTTCAATCCACAGATAAGAGATATTCAAAACACGTTTTCAAAAATAATGTTGTCAACAATGTCAATAACCTCTCTAACCTCCAAAAAAATTCTTTTTATAAGTTACAAAATGTAATTAATAAGCATATCGTAGAATACTTTTCAGAAATAAAAGTTAAAATTTGTAGGTATAATTAACTAATAGAATTATCACAATGGCAGAACAAATTATTAACGAAATGGAAAATGCTGCTAACATTATAACGGTAATACATTTATTCTAATATTGTGATTGTGAGCAGTTTTTAAAGTAAAACTTTTTAGGCACCTCCAAATTTGGTAACGGACGATCAACGTAGGGCGGCAGAAACTATCTTCTTAAGTTTCAGAAAGACGAAAAGTCCATACAATATTTGTAAACAAATTTTAGAAACATCTAATGTTCCTTTTGTTCTATTTGAGACTGCAGAAGTTTTAAAAAATGCACTTATTAGAGAATGGGCATTTATACCAGAAACAAACATAGTTGCTTTACGTCAGTATCTCATGCAATATGTAATTTTTAAAGAAGGTCTACCCTATTATGTACAGGAGCGCATTTTACAAGTTATTGCCATCATGGTAAAAAGAGCTAGTGTAGATGACTTTGGTCAAGAACGTTCTAATATCCTAAAAGAAATAGAAAATCTAATTTTAAATTGTTCACATGAAAAGGTATGTACAAGCTGGAACTTTATTTAGTATAAAATATACTCATTTCTGTTGTTACACAACTTTAAATAATCTTAATTTAACTTGAAAGAAAGAGTTTTATACAGGAACTATTATGTCATTATCCATGCTCATAATGTTTTCTTTTGTGTATTAATTCTTTAAGTGTATTTTTAGTTAAAAATGTAAAAAATGTAGTATTTATCAATAAAACAATTTATTTCCAGAAAATGATTGGCTGCAGTCTTATACTATGCATGTTACAAGAATATGAAACTTCAATTAAATCAACAGATGTTGGTTTGCCTTGGGAAGTTCATTTTAAAGCCAAAAAACATTTTGAAGCTACTGATATGAAGCGAATATTTCAATTCTGCATTCCTCTTTTATCAGAACTAGTCAAAAACGACATCCCATTTGAGAAAAACCTTTATGACCTAATGTTGAAATTGTTAGAAATCACCTCCACTATATTAACTTGGGGTTACATATCACCTCTCTATATCCTTTTCATGAATTATATGCATATTTAATAGCAATTAGGAGGTACTGTTTCCATGGGTTGCATGTACCATTATATATCAAATTAAAGGTCTCGGCATTCTAAAGTTGCATTAAAAAATAGCGCTGGATGACTGGTTACTGTATATTCGGAAATTCTTACGTGAATATTTTCGAGCTCTTAAAGACGGGCATTTCGCTTCTATTTGTTGGGTATATATCATGATGAGTATTAAATAAAATATAAATCTGTATATGTGTGCACAGTACTCAAAATGTTGACTCTCCAGTTTAATTTGAAATATAAATGGTACATTATTTTAATTATTAAATTCTTGAAGAGGAACTATCCTTACAGTAATTTCAACAAAATGCGTAACCCAGTTTTTACACGTTTTTAAATCACCTATTGACTAAGTATTTAATATTTTCTTAATTAAATATTACGTCCTAAGAAGTTAATTGGAGTGTACGAGTCAATATACGAGTCTTCTAATCCGCCGTTGTTACGTTTAAGTATGCTCTGGAAGGATGTGATATTTTCATCTGAATTTCTTCCCTTGATGTTTCAAATTTATTGGAAAGTCCGCGACCAAGAAGCCTTAGCCCATTACGCCCTTACGTGCCTTGTACAGTTAGCTTCTTTAAATGGTAGTATTATGGGAGATGATGATTTGCGCATACAGTATTTTACCACATACATGGAGAATTTTTTAAAACTAACGAATAGGTAAAATTAATAATTGGTCACCTATTTAAAAACAGTTTCCTTTTGATTGTGCGTTTTGCAGTGTAAATATTAGAAATAAAGAATCTATAGGAATATCAAATATTGTTCGCAAATTACAACTCTATTTTGCAAGAGATCTCCAAAAAATCCCTAAAAATATTCAGGAGTCGTTTTTGGATGATATTACAAGAATAACGTGCTTCTTCGTTGAAGGCGCAGCTAAAGAAGAAATGGTGAGAAAAATCGTCAAGTTTTTATGTTACAACAGTAAATCGTATGAGATTATTTTGTGCATTAGGATGATGATAAATATTATGTAGAAGCACTTGAAAATATGCTTGAAGCTTGGACCAGTATTTTACAAGAATTCATCCCTGACAGCGAAAACGCTGTATTAAATGCTGCCACACAAATATTTAATTCATATTTAAAATGTCATATTGGTCCTCCTGATGGTTGTAGGAGCATCAGAGAAGAACCCGAAGAGATAGAAGATAACGAGGACAACGACCGCATTAAATTTAGGGACCAATTACAGGTAATAGGAATGATTGGTCGTACCATTCTCAGACATTCTCTTCCTCTCCTGTTTGGGTTTGTATTTTACTTATTTTATTTAACAAACTTATTAAAATTGAATTTTTTAGATTATTAGAAGATAGGATAATTAAATTGAGAGCCATGTTACATGTTATGCAAAATCAAGCACTAACTCTTAACGATGCGGCAACTTTAGACAATATTTTCGAAGATATTCATTGGACCATTTTGATCGCTGGCCACACTCTTTGCATGGACAATGAGGGTGAAACTCCTCTGATTCCTTCAGAAATAATGCAATATTCATTAGAACAATGTAACAAAGAAGAAGTAACTATAGAAGATACTCTACTTTTTTTAGCATCGATACAACAGGTTCTAAAATTTACGAATAAGTTTTCTTCAATTTTAAAAATATTTTTTAGATTGGTGTGGAAGTGGATTCTGCAAATAAATGCGATCACGCCCTTAGGATCTTCAGTGATATTTTAAAACTTTGTTCTTTAGAAACGTCAGCAGCAGAAGCTAAATTGGGACACTTTATGAGTCCTGAGGTTGGATGCACCCTCATGTGGTTTTTAAAAAGATGGTGTCGCTCGTTTTTACTACCAATGGAACCGCTTTATCACGAAGTTGAGATTTTTCAAATTTCAGTTTATTTTATTAGTAATTTTCTATTTTTGTTTGCAGATAAGTCCTACAATTGTACGTTGTTTAGGTGACGACACAGAAGGGGCTTCTTTTGTAGTAAATTACATTTTGTCCAAGATTCAATCAAATATTTGTCATTTTGGCTCTGAACCTGTTCTTCTCAAAGACACTGTCGAACTTTTCGCCGACATAGTTTGCTTTAAAGAAAAGTAAGTTTGGGTAACTTTTGAGTGCTTGCCATGTGTGGCTTATATCATTTAGGGTGGTTGGATAAAATATTTCCTTTATATTATTTTTTAATTATCTCTTACAGGTCAGTATATATAGTGAAAACAGAAGGTCTATGGAACTTGGTGAATTTACAATCGAAACTAAATGCAGCATCCTTGCCTCCAAATGTGCGCCGGGGTCTCTACAAGGGTTTCGTGAAAGCAGGGGCATCTCTTTTGAACCCCCAAGAAGCCAACGAGTACTTCCGACAAATTTTCAAACCTCTACAGTCACGATTCAAAGGACTTTTGTCTCAAGAGAATTTCAATCGCATTTATCAAGAAGAAAAAGTACGGAAAGAAGTACTCGATATCCTCGAATGCTTTGTAGGGGTTGCAAAAGGAGCACAAATGGCAACAGTACAAATAATATTCGATTACATTGCCCCTGTCTTGTCAGAATTACCCGTTTTTATTCAGTTGTATCATAACTACCAGGTGATAGTGCAGTTGATTCTGGAACTTTTTGGACAAACTGCCAAATACATGCTGTGTTTTCTTGGTCATTTGGATAGCAAACGTTTGTACGAGTTCACTTTGGCCACCATACAAGCGTACGCCAAATGCAATGCGAATCGTTTTACATCAGAAGTTTTCCAAGAAGAATCGAGTTATCAAGACCTTTTGCTCGTTCTCGAACTTCTCATCATGATTTTAACAAAAGACTGCCTAGATTTCAGTTCGCAAGTTTTGGTCGAAGAGGTAACAGTAAGTGCAGTAGACGTAGCTCTCTTTGGACTCAATTTCGTTATGCCTCTGATGACCCTCGATCTATTAAAGTACCCCTCACTTTGTGCTCAATACTATAAGCTAATTGTTCTCATAAGTGACATCCATCCAGATAAGGTGTGCACTTTACCAGAACCGATGTTAACTGCTCTCTTAAACTCTGTCAGATTGGGCATAACTTCCGGTTTTGGCAATGACATCGTACAACACTGTCTCGATTTTATCCAGGCTTTAGCAGGGCACGTGTTTGACAATCAGGATACTAGAAAGGTGGCTTATTCATTATTGGAGCCTTTTCTTAAGCTCCTACTCGATTTGACATTGACGCACGAACTCAGTTCCGATGTTATGGTATTCGCAAGTACGGCCATTTACTCCCTCATTTGTTGCTATAAAGATCGATATCGATCGATTGTGGAAGAATTGATTCAAACGCAACCTGACCCACTTGTGGCCGATCGTCTCGCGGCCGCATTTACTCAACTGACCAATAACGTTTCATTGACTAGCGAACGATGGCCGAAGCTGAAATTCCGTGACAATTTCGATAAATTTATCGCAAATGTACACGGGTTTTTATTGGTTAAATAAAAGTGCCAATTATTTTTATTGTTGCAACTTCAGCAATTGTTTTTGTTAGTATTTTTTCATATGTAAATATTATAGGCGAAATATAATGTGTTCGTTTTTGATATGCATCATTTTTGTTTAAAAAGCGTTAGTAAACTGGTAAGAGTGAGTAATTTACCCCTATGACTATGTGATTATTTAGTCAATTAGTCAGTTGTTAGGCTGATTTGCAATTTTACTCTCCATCGTCATAAGGTCATCAATTCAAAACCTAGATGGGCGCGCTCTTTTGAGTGTCTCCTTCCTATCCTAAGTCAATCTTCGCATTTGACGAAAACTGGAACATACCTCTATCTAATTTAAGACTTCATCTGACACTCTTAACTTCTGCTTTTATTTGTATTAAGTCTCTGATATCTGAAAAGTTCTATTTCTAAATTTTCTAATAAAAGTAAAGTCTTTCATTGCTTAGGAATCAAAACGGCTGGTGGTCTTTATCATTCAATATACAAAATCGTGTCATTTTAAATAAAATTTAAATAAATTGGTAATATATTTATAATGACAGTGTAATGAATTTTCATCGTAAAGTGGCTTATCAATGAAGTAAATACAGTAAATAATATTTTTATACTGAAATGTGATTTTGATAGGAGAATAGATATAAAAGTCAGTAAAATTCATTCTGAAACAATTAGATATGTACTTCATGTAATTTTGTAACTGTAAAACAACTTAATTTAGTTGGCTTTTTGAATTTGCCTTATAAATAAAACTTCGAACGTATCTGTTTTACATACTATAACTTTTTATTCCCTTTAAATCATAATTCTTTTTATTAACGTATGTCAGTTCTTTTGTTAAGATTTTACAAGCATATTTGGGTTTTAGAATAACTATAATGAGTTTCTCTATTTTTAAATTTTCTTCAGCGTTGTGTGACCAAGTGATAGATGGCTCAATATAATGAACTAATTTAATGTACAAACGTTTTAACTTTAGAGGGATATCTTCACAAAAATAATAAAAAAATACGTAACGATATTATCGTGAGGCTTTTGCAATTTTTTCTGATTTGGTGGTTTCATCAATTTTCGTTAAGAATTCTTTCAATTTTACTACACGCATATAATCTACGCAATCTTCAAACAGTACTGCCTCTTCTGTACATTTCAATGTACATGTTGGGTTACGTCGATAACATTCTAATACACGAATATTTGGGCAAAATTCCTTAGTTTTTCTTATCATACTTTCTATACTTCGTATTAAGTTTTCTATATCTATTTCGGATAATCCATAAGCTACTGAATGTACGTTATCAATACATTTGAGCTTATTAAATAGTTCTAAATCGTCAATATTTGTAGTATCATATTGTTTTGGCTCAGCTAAAAAAAATAAATCAAATTAAAAGTTTTACACATACTTGCTAGTTAATGATTCATAAAAAATATTATTGCTTTAGTAAAACGTCACTTACATATTCCTGTTGTAATCCTTTTCACTAATTTATCCGACAAATTATAAACTGTTGGTCCCGAATTGCATTTTTGGCAACTATTCCCCATAGTCTGTAAAATAATTGAGCGATTTCTTTAGAATATGAAAACATAAATTTTTAAAGTGACAAATATTTAAAAAAAATTACAGATAATTGCAAAAAGACATTTATGAATTTTAAAGATGGTTAGTTCAGCTTTAATTGAACTGTAATATTAAGCTATTTTGGCTTCTGTAGAAGAAACTAACTCAGATTATTTTTTGGACATAAACTATGACTAAACTAAAATTAAATACATAATTGAAATCCTCGAAACCTTTTGTTTGGTTTGCATTATTTTAGTGAGTCTTTTTATAATTTAATAAAAATATATTATAACCCAATGTGTTAATTAAAGTTATTCAAAGGAAAGTATTGCTGGAAAAGTTTTGAATTTAATTTTAGCCGCCACGAAAAGTGAAGAAGCACATTGATTGGTGTATAATAATATAATATCTATGGTTAGACTAGACCAAGACGTTAGAATAGAAAAGGATGAGAAAAGGGCAATCCCGTTCCAAAATGGCGTTTGTGTCGTTTTACTATAATCAAGTAATTTAATTGAATTTTGTGCCATTTAAGACGTTTTTTAATTAGAAAACATACACAATGGATGCCGTAAAATCTTTTAATTCGGAAGTAAGTGTATTCATCTTTTATTTCAATTAATTTGTCATTGTATTAACTTTTCCCTCTGCATAACCTTATCTATTTAATTACTTCAGCTTTCCGGATTATACGACGTAAAGCCTCCTATTTCGAAGGCTAAAATGACGTCTATTACCAGAGGAGCTATTAAAGCAATAAAATTTTACAAGCATGTTGTCCAAAGTGTGGAAAAATTCATATTAAAGTGCAAACCAGAATATAAAGTTCCAGGTCTATATGTCATTGACTCCATAGTAAGACAGTCCCGGCATCAGTTTGGTGCCGACAGGGATGTATTCGCCCCCCGATTTGCAAAAAACATCCAACAAACTTTTATGAACCTTTTTAAATGTCCTCCAGAAGACAAAGTAAGTATTTTGATTTTGCTATAACTATTAAGGAAATTTGATGTATTCACTTATGAAGTATATGCTTTGCTATATATTTTGAATGGGTAGTTAAATATTATTATATTTTTCAGAGCAAAGTGATTCGAGTATTGAATTTATGGCAGAAGAATCAGGTATTTCATCCTGAAGTAATTCAGCCACTGTTTGATCTTGCCGACCCAAATCATCCTGCATACAGAGACCAGCCCCAAGTCCAGAGCAATGGAATTTCTGCACAAGTAGTGGGGAACAACTTAATTAAAGGTGTGTGCAAAACCTCAGTTATTTAAATTTTTGGAAATATACACAGTGTGCCAAAACATGTATTAGGGCTTATAATTTATTGAAAGATAAGCACATTCAAGAGGATAATAAACATAACAGCAGTTTATATAATCGTTAGTTTCTTTATTAGTTAAATTGCACTGGCATGTATTTATTTTCTTGTAGAAAACCATAAGAATAGCAACATCAAGAATGTTTTTAAACTATACCAAGGTTTCAACTTGTGCTGTCTGTGTTTATAAAGTGAAAAAGATTTGGTAATTTTTAACTGTCATAAAGTGTATATGTAATTAGAAAGAATAAGGGGATTACCTTTGAGAATAATTAAATTTTTCAACACATGAGTTAAATAATCATAGTTTAGTAACTAATTTTCATCGTAAATATACTGAGTTTAAAGCATGCTTTAATATGTATAAATTGCCTTTAATAATTTGCATTAATAATTATTAGGGTTATTATTTATTTATTTATTATAATTATTGATTAAATTATCCCTATAAGTGATATTTAAACATCTGGTTCTGTATATATCAATGATATACACCTATTCAGAGATGAAGGTAAGGACCATACATAAGGTGAAGTTAGAATGTATGTTGTGAAGGATATTTTTGGCACACTGTGTCGGTATAGGTACTTTTCTCAAATAGTTGTTCATATTAGGTTCACCAGCAATCCAGAAGAGTCCCGCAAAGGCGCCTCTGCAAGGGACACTGCAGACTGATCCGTCAATGGGGCACGTCAGTGGAGCCACTAATAATTCGGTACTTATCGTCTTAAAAGCAAAATCGAAAAAATTATTATGTAAACAGGATGGTGAAATTGTAATAGACTTGTTTCATATTATGATATGCTCATTATATAATGAAATAATTGAATATGCAGCAGTGACGGCTCGTGATAAAATGAAACGGGTGTTTTGCAAATGTTTATTCATTTTATTTTTTTATTCATACTATCCTTCATTGAAAAAAAGTTGATTATAACTTTCTCATTGAAACTAACAGTTTTTAACACAATTAAATATAAGGGATGTTGTTGCAATATTTTGTAATTTTTTTTGTTTCTGTTCTAAGTTGCTCCTTTTCATGTGTGGGGTAAGCTAAACAAGTATATAAAGTGATTGTTTTCAAATTAACATCATCTATGTAAATAAAAATCTGCCTGTTAGCTGGATTGAATGCAGCTCACTAACCCTTTTAAATTTATGGCATTATGTTAGCAAAATGTGGCTTACTTCAATAATATGAAGGAGCTGTGACGGGATCAATCAGAGACCTTAAGAATTCATTTGATCTCCTACTCAGCACAGGACGATTTTTAGTTCCAGCATCTATGCATCAGCTTTCACGGAAATATAGTACTTTAAAAAATCAAAATGATTTTTCTTTCTTGAACTTATCGATTTCTCTTCTTATTAGTGACAATTATGTACTGGTATTTATCATATAGAGACATTGCAAAACTAATTTTAATAAATTTTGTTAATTTAATGTACGTTATAGTATTGGTAATATTTAAACAAAAAAGGAATTATGAAACAAGTCTATTTTGATTGAATATATTACAGCGTGTTGGAAATCCAATAGAATTTTTGTTATTTTAACAACCATGGAATGTGCAAAATTCAGTACATTCGCTGATGTATATATGTATAGTTTATGTAATCCAGATGGGTCTCTTGTAATATAATTTATTTCTCAGACTAATGTACATGTTGGGTTACGTCGATAACATTCTAATACACGAATATTTGGGCAAAATTCCTTAGTTTTTCTTATCATACTTTCTATACTTCGTATTAAGTTTTCTATATCTATTTCGGATAATCCATAAGCTACTGAATGTACGTTATCAATACATTTGAGCTTATTAAATAGTTCTAAATCGTCAATATTTGTAGTATCATATTGTTTTGGCTCAGCTAAAAAAAATAAATCAAATTAAAAGTTTTACACATACTTGCTAGTTAATGATTCATAAAAAATATTATTGCTTTAGTAAAACGTCACTTACATATTCCTGTTGTAATCCTTTTCACTAATTTATCCGACAAATTATAAACTGTTGGTCCCGAATTGCATTTTTGGCAACTATTCCCCATAGTCTGTAAAATAATTGAGCGATTTCTTTAGAATATGAAAACATAAATTTTTAAAGTGACAAATATTTAAAAAAAATTACAGATAATTGCAAAAAGACATTTATGAATTTTAAAGATGGTTAGTTCAGCTTTAATTGAACTGTAATATTAAGCTATTTTGGCTTCTGTAGAAGAAACTAACTCAGATTATTTTTTGGACATAAACTATGACTAAACTAAAATTAAATACATAATTGAAATCCTCGAAACCTTTTGTTTGGTTTGCATTATTTTAGTGAGTCTTTTTATAATTTAATAAAAATATATTATAACCCAATGTGTTAATTAAAGTTATTCAAAGGAAAGTATTGCTGGAAAAGTTTTGAATTTAATTTTAGCCGCCACGAAAAGTGAAGAAGCACATTGATTGGTGTATAATAATATAATATCTATGGTTAGACTAGACCAAGACGTTAGAATAGAAAAGGATGAGAAAAGGGCAATCCCGTTCCAAAATGGCGTTTGTGTCGTTTTACTATAATCAAGTAATTTAATTGAATTTTGTGCCATTTAAGACGTTTTTTAATTAGAAAACATACACAATGGATGCCGTAAAATCTTTTAATTCGGAAGTAAGTGTATTCATCTTTTATTTCAATNTTTATTTCTCAGACTAATAATATGAAAAGTAATATTTTTTCATCTTTTTTCCGTTTGCAAATTATGTTAAAAAAAAAAATATTATTTCTTAATTAATTGGATCTTTGAAGTATTAGCATGTTAATCTACTTTTGTTAAAATTATGTACATATATTTAAAAACGAAAAAACAACAATGACAATTTATTTAGGTAATGTGTACTTACTATAAATTAAAAGATAACAAAAATAGAATGAGGTAATGAGGCTTTTATTGTATGTGTTTTGCTGGGTTATATACTTGTGTTTACTGTGAAAAATATTTAACAAACAAATAATTAAAAAAGAATGTTTTATCTTAGTAAATCCGTTTGCTATTGATATTTCCTTTTTTTGTTGGTTTATTGCAGTTGTTAAGCTAGTTAACAAGGAAAATTGAACGTTTTTCTTTTCTTTTCAGATCTTACAGGACCCAAACGCGTTAGCGCAACTACAGCAGCTGCACAAACTACTCCAGCAACAGCAGGCGGCTGAGGGTTCAGCGAACAAAATTCAAGGGCCGCCAGTGCGTTTTGATCGTAAGCTTTTGGATTTTGATTATGATGATGAAGAAGATGAGGAACATATGGCGCCGTCTCCCAAACCAGGCAATTCGGCAATTGAAACTGTTGGAAGGTAAGATAAAATAAAAAATATTAATCATTTCATTATTTTCTGTATAGTTTACACTATAGTCCTTAGATGAGCATGCCATTTTGCTATAACTATTAAGGAAATTTGATGTATTCACTTATGAAGTATATGCTTTGCTATATATTTTGAATGGGTAGTTAAATATTATTATATTTTTCAGAGCAAAGTGATTCGAGTATTGAATTTATGGCAGAAGAATCAGGTATTTCATCCTGAAGTAATTCAGCCACTGTTTGATCTTGCCGACCCAAATCATCCTGCATACAGAGACCAGCCCCAAGTCCAGAGCAATGGAATTTCTGCACAAGTAGTGGGGAACAACTTAATTAAAGGTGTGTGCAAAACCTCAGTTATTTAAATTTTTGGAAATATACACAGTGTGCCAAAACATGTATTAGGGCTTATAATTTATTGAAAGATAAGCACATTCAAGAGGATAATAAACATAACAGCAGTTTATATAATCGTTAGTTTCTTTATTAGTTAAATTGCACTGGCATGTATTTATTTTCTTGTAGAAAACCATAAGAATAGCAACATCAAGAATGTTTTTAAACTATACCAAGGTTTCAACTTGTGCTGTCTGTGTTTATAAAGTGAAAAAGATTTGGTAATTTTTAACTGTCATAAAGTGTATATGTAATTAGAAAGAATAAGGGGATTACCTTTGAGAATAATTAAATTTTTCAACACATGAGTTAAATAATCATAGTTTAGTAACTAATTTTCATCGTAAATATACTGAGTTTAAAGCATGCTTTAATATGTATAAATTGCCTTTAATAATTTGCATTAATAATTATTAGGGTTATTATTTATTTATTTATTATAATTATTGATTAAATTATCCCTATAAGTGATATTTAAACATCTGGTTCTGTATATATCAATGATATACACCTATTCAGAGATGAAGGTAAGGACCATACATAAGGTGAAGTTAGAATGTATGTTGTGAAGGATATTTTTGGCACACTGTGTCGGTATAGGTACTTTTCTCAAATAGTTGTTCATATTAGGTTCACCAGCAATCCAGAAGAGTCCCGCAAAGGCGCCTCTGCAAGGGACACTGCAGACTGATCCGTCAATGGGGCACGTCAGTGGAGCCACTAATAATTCGGTACTTATCGTCTTAAAAGCAAAATCGAAAAAATTATTATGTAAACAGGATGGTGAAATTGTAATAGACTTGTTTCATATTATGATATGCTCATTATATAATGAAATAATTGAATATGCAGCAGTGACGGCTCGTGATAAAATGAAACGGGTGTTTTGCAAATGTTTATTCATTTTATTTTTTTATTCATACTATCCTTCATTGAAAAAAAGTTGATTATAACTTTCTCATTGAAACTAACAGTTTTTAACACAATTAAATATAAGGGATGTTGTTGCAATATTTTGTAATTTTTTTTGTTTCTGTTCTAAGTTGCTCCTTTTCATGTGTGGGGTAAGCTAAACAAGTATATAAAGTGATTGTTTTCAAATTAACATCATCTATGTAAATAAAAATCTGCCTGTTAGCTGGATTGAATGCAGCTCACTAACCCTTTTAAATTTATGGCATTATGTTAGCAA